CCCCAAGTTCTGATGAGCATGTGTGTGCCCCGCATTAACTGCACCCATATTACACATTCTCTCTTCTCTTCTGTTTTTCCGCCTTCTTGATCACGGATGCGCCCCAGTCAGGTAAGGGTCTGTATTTCAATTTCAACAGTTCATGGGGGGTCTGTATTTCAATTTCAACAGTTCATGGGGGGGGTCTGTATTTCAATTTCAACAGTTGATGGGTGTGTACCACCAACTGAGCTTTGTAGGTAGGCCCGTTGGTCTTGGCTGCTTTCCCTCTCATTTTTTTATCTTTTACCTTAAAACGTTTGTTTGTTAATCTGACTGCATCTGGCTTCGAACTTGGGTCTGATTCATATTTCAACAGTTCATGGGTGTGTACCACCAACTAAGCTATAGGCCCGTTGGTTTTGGCTGCTTTTTTTTTTTCTTCTTCTTCTTATTTTCTTTTTTGGTCTTGGCTGCTTTCCCTCTCACTTGATTTGATCTCTACCTTAAACAAAATCTTCTGAAAAAAAAAAAAAAAAAGGTTCTCGATCGCAGACGCTACTCCATTCCGATTGGTGGTACCTAACACGCATCACAGCGCAACCTTTTCCACCCTGTGCTTATATCCTTTCCTTCTTCCTTTCCCCCCCCCAGTCCCCACGTGCATTTGCACTTGATCCATTCCATTACAGGCACGACGAAGCACGTTGTGCCCCCCTTTTTTTGTGCCCCACTTATTTTTGTCCCCCCCTTATCACTTCGACAGGCTTCCTCCTACTACTACTACTACTCATCATCATCCTCATCATCATCATCATCATCATCCCTCCTCCTCCTCCCTCCTTTGAGGCTACCAAACGTACGTTACAATGTCAGAGCGCAACCTTGCCCAACCTTGCCCCTCATCATCATCATCATCACCATCATCATCATCTTCCTAGCTCCTCCTCCTCCTCCTTCGACTACCAAACGTACCTAACAGTGCATTTGCACGTGACACAAACCCTTTCTCGGGATTCTTCGCCCCCCTCTCCACGTGGCACAGCGAACCCCTTTCCCTGCCCCTTGATTCCTCTTCTTCTTCTTCTTCTTCTTCTTCGTCTTCTTCTTCTTCTTCTCCTTCTGAGCTCAATGCATGCGGTGGAGCATGGAATTTTCTGTTGAAGCATGCACGAAGGTCAGTCTAAGACCTCTGTTTATCACTACTCTTCTTCCGTCTTCTTCCTTCTTCTTCTTTTTCTTCTTCTTCTTCTTCTTCTTGGTTGCAATGTTGGGTGGTGCCGTAAGGCGGATCTTGGGAGAAGCCCCCTGAGGAGTGACTGCCAGGAGCGCAGCAGCCTGATTAGCCGACACACGTCGGGGAATTTGCCCGTTTTCAACTGAGAAACTGTACATGCGGAGGAGCAGTATTGAAATCTCTTTTGTCCATGCGTTGTGCGAGAACCAGTCTATGGCCGCCACTGTTTTCCCTCTTCTTCTTCTTCTTCTTCTTCTTCTTCTTCTTCTTCTTTTCTTCTTCTTCTTCTTCTTCTTCTTCTTCTTTTTCTTCTTCCTTCTTCTTCTTCTTCTTCTTTCCGTCTCTCTTTCCCCATCCCGATCCGGATATCCCTGCCTCGAGACATGCTGGGCACCCTCCATCGTCAGCTTCCTGTTTCTCCCCCCTGCCTCGAGACATGCTGGGCACCCTCCATCGTCAGCTTCCTGTTTCTCCCCCATTCCACTAGCTACCCCGATCCCGACCTGCCTCCCACGTCACATGAAGAACCACCCCTCATCCGCTCCCCCCCCCCCCCCTCTTGCTTCCTTGTCCTTCTTTCCTTTCCCTTCCTAGCCCCCCCACTCCCGCCGTCTTACACGTGGCACGACGACGCCCCTTCCTTTCTCTTTCCTGCCAATTTTGACTGATTGCAGGTCAAACGCGCGCGCAAGTAGAGATCACATCACTGTCAAAAGTGCATTCATTGGGCCTCGCTCCACTACTCTCGACAAGCACAAAAGACAAAAATCATGGCCGTGCATCTTTCCATGTTCTCGCGGAACATTCACTCTCGTTTTGCACATTTCCAGAGTAGTGTAGCGAGGCCCATTGACGTTCCTTCCCGCCATATTTCAGAGCGATCTCCTCCCGACGCCACGTGTCCGGACTCCACGTGGTTTTTTTTCACGTCGGCGTCGTCGTGTCGCTCTGCCCCCCTCCCTCCCCCCCTCCCTCTCTCACCCCTCTCCACTTATTCTCTTTCTCTCTCATCCTAATTACCGCCTGTCAGAGCATAGACTCACACTGGCGCAACAATCTTCAGCGTATCTGGCCGCATTTACGGCAAGACCTACCTAAAAGTGTGACTATGCCCTCAGACGTCCTCAAGCCTGACGGCGTACCGCTTCAATCAGTCTTCTTCTGTCTGCTTTATTACGTCCTTCGGGACATCCGTAAAATTGGAACGATACAGAGAAGATTTTTTTATTTTTCGAAAAAATATATGATAGGAGGCCGGGGACCGCACAGATACAGAGAAGATTAGCATGGGCCCTGCTCCAGGAGGATGACACGCATAAATCGAGAAATGGTCTGCTTTACTGTATTACTCTGATTGCGTTTTGTTTTGTTTTTGTTTTTTTCAATTCTTAATAGGTGGGTTTTTTTTCCAATTCTTATAGGTAGGATGTTCTTTGCAGACATATGTGTTTTTGAGATCATAAAAATAAAAATAATGCATTGATGACATGGAAAGATCAACCACAAAAAAAAATAAACGAAGAAGAACAAAGCAGACTGAGGGCGTACTCACACTAGCAGTGTCTTAAAATTCCCAGTGTGAGTATGGCCCCCTGAAGACCGCTCGAGGAGTGAGCAGACGAGACTGTACAGAGAGATGGAGAAGCGAGAGGGAAGAAAGGGAGAGGCGGAAGGGGAGGGGGACGGGGAGGGGGACGGGGAGAAGGGTGTCGGGGAGAGACCAGGGAGGGGGAGGCGGGGAAGGAAAGGAGAGGGGGGGAAGGAGGGGGAATGGAGGGAAAAGGAGAGACTAGCACCGGTGGCAGAAGGAGAGACAAGATGCTCACCCGTTCCCCGGGGCAAGGTCCCACTTGCACGGGGCGGATTAAGAGATTCTGGCCGTTGATCTTTGCTATCTACGGTCAATACCGCTTAGTTCGTCGTGTAAATGGGACCTTGCCCCCGAGAAGGCCCCTTACTTTTTTTCTTTTTTTTTTCTGAGAGGCCCCTTACTGCTCCTGGCCGCAGTCGCTCTCTGGCAGCGCTCACTGCTCGCGTCGTTTGTGCGACCGTCGTCGCCCCCGAACATAACGCACTCTGAAATGAACGTATACAAGCTATATTTCGGGGGAGGTGCATCCAAAATCCAAAATGAGGGTGC